CAGGGGCGTGCCGTGACATTTGATGATAGGGAAGCTGTGTTTCTATAAGAAGCCGACATCCAGGGGCAATCAGTTAATTCTTTCTTTAAATGTATTTTTAATAGATTATTTATCTGACGTACTTAATAAACAAGTTCATTATAATTACCTCTGTTATTAGATCCAATATATTCCATATGCCCTCTAAATGCCAATTCTTGCTTTGATAAAAACATATAACATCTATTTATTTAGATATAATATATCTATTACCCATAATTATCTCGTTACAATTTTCAATATTTATTTTATATTATTTACTAATGTTAAATTCTATTCCGCTTCGATTTCCAAATTGGTTCAAATACGAAAGAATCGACGATTTTTCGTGTCTTTTGCCAGCTAAATTGTCAAAGCCATTATTATTCCACATACTAATTTCACTCTGTAAATGCATAAAAATGCATTTACAGAGCCATTTTATCGTGAAAATGTCGAACAAATTTTTTTATCGAAGCGTTTATATTTAACTTAGGCATTGGCCTTTCTCTTTTAATAACGTTTTCTTTTTCATTATATGATCTCGAGCCAAAACNAAGACACTGTTATACATATTATTCTTTTGGTGATATTTATAAAATGTCAGCTTATTATTTGGCTTTAAAGGAATGGCTTCTTGTATGTTGTTACGAAGAGTCATAACAAATCTAAATTAAACTCTGCCTTGCTTTTCATTAAGTTAATAAATCTTCTTACTCTTCGGTCCACCAACCACCAAACTTTCATAGCATCAATGTCGGATATGTACAAGTTACTATGCCAAATTTCGTTTTCTACTCTTTACTCCATTCTCAGATATTAAGCAAAATAGAGGCCAACACACACATACCGCGATATTTTTACTGTTTTATTTGTTTAGTTTTTTAGGTTTAGGAGATCTCAAAACGTCGAGAAACAAGCGAAATTTCACAGGATCACAATACTTTCCCGTGTTATAAGAGTCAGGAAACTTAAAAGATGGCAAAGGGTCTTGCACGACTCTCTCGACGATCTAAAACAGGGATGTCAAAGATACGGCCCGCGGGCCATGACTGGCTCTCGAGGCAATTAGTTGCGGCCCCTAACATTAATTCAATATTTTTTATTTTGTTGTCAAATCTTGGGTTATTAAACTTAATAGATTGTCCGTCTTTTGTTTTCTAACTAATTCGTTTTAGGGCCAGATGTCGTCCACGGAAATTTCCAAAATTTACAACTTTTCGGTCACTCTCGTCGAACTGGAAAAATTTCTGTCTTTATTACATCTAATACAGTATTTCGAAAAAATCAATTCCCACTGTACTCGGCTATAGATTGGTTCGGTTAAGCTTTTGTTTAAGTAATATTCCGGCTCTTTCGTCAAGGTTTTGTTTAAGTCCCCAATTCCTAATCGCTTAATTATTTAATATTATTCTTATCGCTATAAAGAATATTCTATATTATTAGGAGTTTTACTTTCAATAAAAAGAAACATAAGAATAGGAGGGTTGTTCAAACAGTTCCTGAACTTTATTTACTACAAAAAAAAAATACTTCACATACAATTTATTTGTTGGGTTCCCCTTCAAATGTAGTCTCCTCCGCAGCATATACACTTCCACTTTTTGAAACAGTCCTGGAATGCTTTTTCCGGAATGCTCATAAGCTCCTCCATCGTTTTTTTCTATCTCTGGAATGGTGGCAAATGTTTTTTTTTTTTTGAGCGCGTTTTTTAGTTTGTTGGAGAACAGGAAAAAGTCGTACGGGACCAGGTCAGATGAATAGGGTGGGTGGGGAAGCACAGCGGTCTTGTTTTTGGCCAAAAACTCGTGTTCTGAGGGACAAATGAGCCGGCGCGTTGTCGTGGTGAAAGAACCACTCGCCGCTCCTCCAAAGTTCGGGCCGTTTTCGCCTGATTTTGTCTCTTAGGCGATTCATAACACCAGGTAGTACTTGTGTTGATTGTCTGGCCTGTAGGTAGGTATTCGTGATGCACAACCCCCTTTGCACGGAAAAAAAACAGTCAACATCACCTTAACATTTGAGCGAACATTTTTGAGCGAAGATTTTTGGGGCGGAGGGCTGTTTCACCCACCCGTGGGAATTTTCCGTGAAGGATTTTCCGAGTTGCACACAGAGTTTCACAGAACAACGCTGCTTTTTCAAAGAGCTGATTTCCGCGGATCCGATTTTTCGCCGAACCCCACAAACACCACTTCACACAAACGGCCGTAACTAATCACCAAAACAAGATATCAACAAACGGGTTGAAGGAGGTTACTCGGAAGGTTTCCGCGGACACAACGCTCAAGCGAATTAAAAAATAGCCAACTGGAGGAGCGCTGTTGAAAAAGTTCGGGAACTTTTTCAACCCACGTACATTTTCTTTAGATTTTAGAATTCACAATAACCATATAAAAAGCAATATATTTTTGTTTATTATATACTGTTGTCCAACAGAAAAGTAAACTATCTTATTTATAAATCTTTTCAAAATAGACAGTTTGACCGGGCCCTAGACATTTGTCTCATTTGTCTATGCGATGATCCGGCCCTGGTCAGAGGTACTGATTGTTGCAGCCTCCCTGGAAAGTAGATCTGCACGTTCATTACTTAGGAAACCATACCACTGTCGGTAGGTCTAAAGATGAGTTTTATTTGCGATTGCCACGAGGAAACCGCCCACTACTGTGGCCGTTAATCCCAAGCTCCGCCAAAAAGTCAGTCGGTCTTGAGAATGGCAAATTACCACCCTGTGATTCTGATGTAAAGTTGAAAGAAGCCTCGTGGTACCAGGGCAGGTAGATGCAAACTACCTGCAAACGGACCCGAAAAATAGGTGATGATTTTTGTGTATAATGCCAAATTTTAAATGAGCTTATTGTATTTTAATTGAATAAAAAAAACCGTCGCTTTCGGTGGATTCCTGTTAGTTAAACTTTTATAACTGCAATACAATCTATACTAATATTATAAAGAGGTAATGTTGGTATGTATGTATGTATGTATGTTAGTTTGTATGCAGCAGGTAATCTCCGAAACTACTCATCCGATTTCAAAAATTTTTTCACCAATATTTAGAATGGAACTTCAGGGGGTACATAGGCTGTATATTATTACGTTAAACATGGGGGATGGACAGTTCTTTACGGTAAGCCTTACGGGGAAGGCTTACCGTAAAGAACTCTGCTTCTATTTATACTATTTTAGATGCGGTTTTTTGCATTTTTGATTGCATTTTAATAGGGTACGTCAACAGAATGTACACTAAGAAGGGATTTTTCGATATTNCTGAACCTTCCACACATTCTGCATATGTTGGAGGAGCTAAAAATAAATTAATAATTATTTAGATTGTTCATATAACTTCATAAATAAATACACAAAATATATAGGATTATTTTCAAAAACATTGTAAGGTTAGAGTATTCATTAATAATGATTTCCTATATATTCTTAAATATACAGGGTCTTCCAAAAAAAATGCTACAAATTTAAATTATTTCCAATTATTATTACAATAATTTTATTATCTGAGAACTGTTGTAATGTACTGTACATTAAATCATTGAAAAACTGTCAAAGTTTCACATTTGTGCATTACAGTTTCTCAATGTGTGCACCTTGTGTCATACAGCATATATCCAACTGATATTCAAATTCTTCATATGCTTGTTAAAGCATATCCATTGTCACTCCTTCCATAGCAGCCACAATTCTACAGATTCTGCAGAGTACTCATGTTGCCCAATGATGAATGATTCTAACTTTGTGAGCTGCAGGAAACAAAATTCAGATGATTACTGTATTGGGATACATTGTCTACTTCTTAGATAATAATTAACATAATTATAGTAATTTAAAAAGGTAGCATTTATTTGGAAGATGATGTATTTCTAATTCATTTATAAATCAGATGTTAACTGATGTAATAGAACTATGTCATTATTAAACAGAACATGCTCAGGAAATAATTAACTTATCACACTACACCTTTATTTTGCTGAGATAGTTTTATTGAAAAATGTCATTATTATAATTTTTCTTTTTAGAAACAGAAGAAAAAATTATGGTTAATAGATAAGTATTTTCTAACATAAATTGTTCAATTGAAATAATCAATATTACAAACAAATTATAATTAAAATAATAATTTTTTTTTTTAAAAACTTGTTTTGTTGTCTTACATTTCTATGAAAAAATAAAAATTATTATTAAAATTATCATCTCCAATTTCTTTACTTTTAATCAATTTTATAAAATGTCAAAAATTTAAAACTTATTTATTTCTTTAAATAGTGTTTTTGTTAATTATTTTCATAAAAGAAAAACAACAAATTTGGCAGTATTATCTAACAAGTAAGAGAATTAGCTAATGTCTTTAAATTATTGGCTTAAATCCATAAGTTAGTTTTCAACTGATGCAATGAGAAATACAATACAGATGTGTAATTTGCACATCAAAGTATTTTTTAAATTGTTAAAGTAAGCCATATGAAACGATGGGAAGTATGAAATAATTGAAAATTAAGATTTCCTATATTTATAATGATTTAACATAACATAATAATAATCAATATTTTAAATTTAATTCTGCTATTATAACTTTTATTCTATTCAAAGCCCCATGTAGTAATTATGCATTTGGCTTAAATAAATATATTGTACAGAACACTAATTTTTATGAAAATACTGAATAATATAATTCAATAATAATAATATTTTATAATAATTTAAATAAATTCATATTTAATCAAAATATTTCAAACATTAAATTCCAAATGATTAATTTTGAATGTGTATCAATTTATTTTAGTAGAGAACAAATTAGTTGATGAGTGGTCTAGTTAAATATAGTTTAGATAGTTAACCCATTGACTAAGTTTACTATTGTTAGATAAGTCTTACATGTTAAGTTTATTTTTTATTTTGTTTGTTTAATTAATGATTCTTATTGTATATAGCTTAGTAATTAACTAATACTGAAATTTAAGTAATATAAGAGTATATTCAGTTCATTTATTTCATTTTAACTTAATTAAAAAACATTTTTTTTCCTCAAAAATTAACTAATACTGAAATTTAAGTAATATAAGAGTATATTCAGTTCATTTATTTCATTTTAACTATATTAAAAAACATTTTTTTTCTAATATTACGAGTAAACTCTTCAAGTATAGAAATAATATGATTTTCATTCCATTCAAGAATATTTTGTTGCATTAGCTGTATGATGTAAGTAAGGCACACCTGCTAATTTTCTACTAGCTTCAGAATAATCTTCAGGAATATTCTCTAATAATTCGAACCACTGAATTTTATCTATGATAAAATGAAATTTATAATTTAAAACAATTTACAGCTATAAATATTAAACAGATTTTCCAACCAGTGTAAGTGTTAGTATTATACAGTTACCTGAACGTACAAAGCCATATAGTAAAAATAATAGTTTTGCTTGATGCTTAAGAGGCCAAGGTTTTAATATTTTTGATAACCAAAAATTACGATCTGTAGAATTCCAGCAATAATCTAAATAAATAAAACGATAATACGTACGAACATACATTTCCTTTTCTGGATTGGAACCTAAAATATGTTACAAAATCTTGGATATTTTAATAGAATGTCATCTATTTACGTTACAATTAGTTTATTATTATTAAATTCTTTATTATATTACCTGGAAATGATGTTAAAATATATTTTAGAATGTTTATTATATCACTAACGTTGTCAAGAATAGAATGCACAGAACAGCATTCGCTTTCGTTCCATCCAGCTATAATCGTTTGAATAAACTTACCACAGCATTGTAGAAAGTGACTCCTATTAAGGATTTTATTCTTACGATTACATTCAAACTATAATAAAATTGTTTAAATTTTTAAAAATTCATTTTATTACATGTTAATGTGTATATTGTATATATATATAACCTAAATAATATGAATATGGAATAAATAAATATATATCTATCTAAATATCTAAAAACTTGAGAATAAGTTGAAATATATTTAAACACGCGGTTGTTATTGTTTTTATTGTATTGTGCGTTTAAATTTCCTTAAACGTATTTTTGCGGAATGACTGGCATGCCGCTTATAAACGGGGAAGACCAGCGTGACAGAAACCCCGGGATTACCGGCATGCCGGTTAAACTGCTACTAAAATATAAAATTAATCACATGTAACAAAACTAGTTGTTAATTAAAGAAAACATTCTTCCTAGTACAATAAAATAACAACATTATAATTTGATTGACTTAAAATCAGGAAAAGAGTTTTCGTTTAGAAGACAATAAAACAACAAATTATTGACATTAGTAGTGATAGTAGTAGTACAGTCGACCCCCCTATAAGATCATTGATTTTTCCGTTTTATCTGAATTACATGTTGTACGAGTCACTTAGATTTTACAAATATGTAAGCCATTCACAGTCCGGCACACGTATTTGTAAAATCTAAGTGACCCGTACAACATGTAATTCAGATAAAACGGAAAAATCAATGATCTTATAGGGGGGGTCGACTGTAGTTAGTCTGTGTGGCTACACTGACCATCTACCCTGCCGTTAAAAATAACACCTTCTTCTCAAATTTGACACAAAGCCGATGTTAATTGGTGTAAGATGAGATAATTTAAATTTAATATGTTTATTTTTGCGTTTTTGAATCAAATAACAATAAAATAGACATAAAAAAGCACTTTCAGAATTCCAAGAGTATTTTAAGTCGTTAGAAAGACGACAAAATGAATAATTAAACATACAATCGTAGTTTTTGATGTAATGCTGACTGTTTCACAGTTTTACAATAAAAACTCGTTCGTTTTTTTAATGCGCTCCCTAGAGAGGGATGTATAGCCTCACTTAAACAGGCATGCCGGTCATTACGCCGAGGAAATACGGTAGGTATTTGGACAACATTTTTAGCTTTCACTGTGAAATTCTTCACATATCAAACACAGGGACTATTTAATAATTAATTATCGTCAAATTATAACTTATAGGTAATGTTACTTGAATATATCTGCCATACTTTTTAGGTCCAAAATAAGGTACGACAAAATAACCAATATATCACGAAATTACTACTCGAGATGCCATCAAAATATCGTCAATGTGAAAAAATAAATTTATTAAAATCGTGAGGATGAAAAGTGTTCAGTATAGGAGCAATTATTTATTGTGACATGTCACAATGCCGGGCCACAATTTTTAATCATATATTTTTTTTAGCTTTTTATTTATTCATTATTTTTTTTTATTTATTTAATTTAAAATACATGCTCTCCACCTCAAATCAGTAGTGACTTGCTCCTGTACATCATACTTTTCCTTTAGCAACAGAGTCGTACCGGTCATCTATCTAACATCCTACAGGAAAAAAATTTTGGATTGAAATCACGTAACATTCGTTATAGATCGGAAAATGTTATACAGTTAATCGAAGTCTCCTGCCTCTAAGCTTTCCCATATTCGGTCTCCTCTTTTAGTCCGTTCTCGAGATTAAGCAAGGGCAGACAGACAACAGCCGTATTGACATACAGACAAATGACAGTGGGCATTTATAGGTCTACAATTTTTTCAAATTTCAACCAAATATACAGGCTAAAGGACCTTCTAAAAGACCACGATATCACCACTTGTACTGTACGCCACAGAAAAAATATACTCGTAGAAAATTAAGTTATAAATACAGTATATTCATAATGACAAAAAGCTATGCTGTTAACTTGAGAGTATTGTCCTTTTAATGTCCATTTATGAAATATATATCCGATAATTACAGAATAATTAATTTTATCACAAATTTACCAATGTTTAGGCCTACCCTTTGTACATAAATAATAATAAAAATAATAAACTCACATAAAAATGGAATTTCTCGCTTTAGGAAGACAAATTTATAAAAAGAGAAACAGATTTTCTTAGTACTTTTAGACTTTAATACCATCTTCAGCGGAATTCTTTGAAATGATATATCGTCTTTAAACAATCAATTTTGTTCTTAAATGTTTTAATTAATTCTACTGAAGATGGAAGTTAAAATCCAAAAGTCTATTACTTTCTCAGCAGCTATATATAACAGAGGGAAAGAATGGTATTCGGTCAAAAAATAACCCCTAAAGTTTTTACATTTTTGGGCTTTTATTTGTTTGTAAAGTGTACGACTTTACAAACAAATAAAAGCCCAATTTATTGGTAAAGTGTACGACTTTACAAAATGCTTTGTTTTTTGAGTTTTAATAATTTAGCCTATATTACCTTATTTATAAATTCTAAACTGGTCATAATTCTTTGTTTCATTGGATACAAGCAAGTTGACCTCTTCATTAATAGACCTAAAACGAAACGAGCAATTATTTATTGTGACAATGTTACAATTCCGGGCTGCAATTTTTAATCATGTTCTTAATTTATTTAATTTAAAATATATATTCTCCATCTCATATTAGTAGTGTCTTGCTCCTGTACTTTATACTTTTCCTTGGTCATTCTAGTCATCTGTGTAATTATTCAGGGGAAAATTCTTGGGAATGTGGTGCAAAATGGAAACAGTATATAGTTAATCGGGCCTTCTAATATATATTGCAGCCCTATATGTAAAATATAGGGCTGCAATATATATATAAAACATCTACGAATACTAAATTTTTGATGCAATTATAAATACAAATATTAAAATGAAAATAAGTGTAAATTTCAAATCAAAGAAATGTGGGATAGTTTCTTTCAAATTCTACGAATTATTACAGTAAAAACTAAAAAAAAAAAACTGAAAAATTAATACTGTACAAGCAAAATAAGAGAATATTGTGTGTAAATATACATAATTTATATCGATTTAGTGTACAATATTTATTACCATAATTATTATATTAATTCAGTTTTTAATATTTACGCTGTTAATAAAATAGCGTATAGTAAAAGTTCCGTATTTGCGAATATGGAGCTTTTACTGTACGCTAGTTCTTAATCGTGGTAGTTGAAGCAAATAGCATGGAATAGCTTACTAAACTACTGGGAATATGAAAACCACGAATACAAAAAGAGAATTATGTTAAAAGATAATGTTAGAAGTAGGAAAAATAAAACTATTATATTTTTGTAAATTTGAAAATAAATTCACATTTTAATACAAAACATTATTTATTTTCATAATAGAGAAATATAATAGCCTAATAATTATCACAACTCGCATGTACTTATTCTAAAAAGCTTGAAATTTTCGTGTTTGCCTTTTCTTTGAATGTTCCGCAACAGCCACATGCTTTAATTCTACTCTTAAATTTAAGAATTTTTACCTATTATTATTATTACCTGCATAACATTACTTAAACCTTTAAAAAATTAGTATCGAATGACTAAACATAATTAATCTTGACTTTGTACTAATTGTAGTAAAATGATTTTAAAAATGCTTTTCACGGATAATAGAGCTACTCAAAGAGATATTTTGCCATGACTGTCTTCAATCCAGATGCTTAAGCTTTTCGCACTTTTCCTGATCTGTCCAGGTCTCGTCAGCTACTTAAGGCTTTCGACTTCTGATAGAAAGGCTACTACGTAATATGATACAGAGTTTATAAATACACTACTGGATACGGTTACGGTTACGGTTTGGAGTTTATAACCCAGTCCTAATGCTTTGCACTTGAGTTAGTGACAGCTTTTAAGATTCATTCAGTTACGCTCCTGTTTCTTTTGAAGAAAGGTTTGTGTCATTTATCCCTTGGAAGATCGTTCTTAAAAGGATTGGAACAAGGGATTTTTAGAAATTCTTAGACACTTCGAAGTATGTCGCACTTTTCTGAGGAATGTCTTTTTTGCACATGTGATGATTCACTTTACTAATTGTGGTCCCTTTTCTGCAATATTTGGAAACGGTTCAAAATTAATTTTCCTACAGCTTAAATATTTTAGCCGAATTGGGATCATTAAAAGGAGTACCAAATTTAAGAAATTTNAAAAACTTTATTTTAAATAAAGGCAAAAACTTTATTTTAAAAAATAAAGTTTTTGCCTTTGCAAATATAAGAAGTTTGTACAGACAAAAACAGGGGATATTTTTTAGTTCTGATTCTATATATCTTCGCAAATAAACTTTTCAAAAATGAAATATATAAAATTGAATATCCATCCAACAATCATTTAAATGAGATTTCAATATCGAGTGCCACAAAACTTATTCCTAAATTTTGATAATATTTTTTTGAAAAAACAGTTGCAAATTTGATATTAATTTATTTCCATTGTATTCAGAAATTAAAAATAATCTTAATCTTTGACTACTTCTTTCATACCTGGTCTGCAGACTTGTCTTTTTACAGCTCAGATAGCCCTTCTCAGAAAAAGGCTGGAGACCCTGGATCTAAACACAAATGGTATTTTTGTATTCATGCAAAATAAAATACATACGTTCCACAGGAGCAGATGGAGCATCAATTTCACTGTATGGAGGAGCAGGAGGATAGAATGTTACTCTTGTTTCATTAGTGCCTGAAATTTCTGGTAATTGAGGACTTATATTTCTATAATGAGGAGGTCGAGTTCGTAATGGAACAGTACCAATTACTACAGGAAGATCTACTGATAAATTATAGGCACCTGGGATTTGTAATGTAATCTAAAATATATGATTAAAATTAGGAAAGAAAATTACATTTGTTACATTTGAGTTTTAGTGGTACCTAAGCGTTTAATTAATAATGAAATGTATAAATTTATGATATAGTAAAGATTACATATGACGAGGTGTAATAGATATGAAGAGTGATTTATAGTGATTAGCATTAGGACAACATTAAGAAATGGATTCAACAAACAAATTAATCTTTTCTTAAAATTTTTGGAGAAATGCTATTTCATACTTATATGTCATATTTTTTGTACCCTAACAACACCCTTTTCTCACTTATGCATTATTCACTTTAAAGTGGAAAAATTTAAAGCAATTATTAAAAACAGTGAAAAAACAAATTATGTATTTACTTCAGGTTAGTCCAATGATAGCAAATCACCATCAAAATCAAAAAGCAGTGTGAATAACATGTAACATGTGGCATCATATACATATAGTAAATTGAAACTTCTTTGTTAAGAATTATAATATAAATTCAGTTGTATAGTGTTAATTTGTGCCATGCAATACTTTTGTAATGACTATGTTCACTCTTACTGTAGCTTTACTTCTTTATTTTTCTCACTTATACAATATTTTTCTCAGTTTCCTTGAAAAATGTGCAAACAAGGTTTGACTGTATACAGTAAAGTGTATGTATTTTAAAAAAATTTATATAAACAGCCGGAAAAAATAAATAAAATGTGATATAATTTAATTAAATGGCAGCATATTATTATTTAAAACTTGTCAATAAAAAAAATTATCAAAATTTTTGAAACAAAACAATGCTAGATTATAACATTTTACAATTATATAACAAATCCAAATTTATNTGTGTGACCCTTACGTAAGATAACCTTTGTAGTTATATAAATCAAATACTATAATATAACAAACATTAAAACGAAAACCATGTAAACAGTTTGGTTATTTTAGCCTACCATTGTCATGTTTATCACGATACTCGGATGGTACGAAATGACACAATTTCATTGGTCAAGTAGACACTAACTGAAAATATATCTTAAATTTTTTCAAATATATTTTATACTAATGTTAACTCTAAGAAACTACCATTCACAGTCGAACATCAAACGGTAATCTGCCAACGAATCAAATTTCGCCAAAAACAAACCAAATATTTAAACTCGGCACCCTCGAAAACTACTTAAAATCATATTTTGTGCTGTCCGGTAACCTTGTATTATGTAATTTTTCTATTCGAATGCCACCATAACGCTAATCCGATAGAAAGAAGTAACTGTTCAAGAGGGTTGAAGTAATTCCACCAACAGCAGTCGTTGATCTCTTCCCAGAAGAGAGGATGATCAGCGACTACTAATTAATACCGGTCTACTATCAATATTTGAAAAGTGATCCGTGTTGGATAGGTTGTGAATGCCCCGCATGTGATCGAAGTTGCTAACCTTAACGTCCGAAAGATTTCATATAAGACTTGTTTAAATAAAAAAAAAATCTTGTAAAAATGCGAGTATAATTGCTTTTATGTGGTAATAAAGTGTTTATATTTTTGCAAGAGATTGTATCAACTTGCAAGAGATTGTTCTGGTAAATATCGCGTTTAAAGGAAAATTATTGGGTTGAAATTTGAAAAAATTGTAGCTTATAAATTCCGATTGTCGTCCGCCTGTCTGTCCTTTCATCTCAAGAAATTAGTTAGGAGTTAGATAGATGAACGTCGATGATAGATGAAGACCAGATATGGAAAGCTTATGGACAGAAGACCCAGGTTAACTATTTATGAATTTCCGGCATAAACCGGAAGTCATATTACTTTAATTCAAAAATTTTCCCTGAAAATATAATAGTTAGATAGATAACTGGCACAACTCTTTTGCTAACAGGAAAGGTATGATATACAGGGGCAAGACATCGCTAAAAGAATTGACAGCATTATAACGATGTCACAATAAATAATCGTTAGTTAGAACTAATTTGGTTTATTTGGTTAAGGCAACGCGACACGAGAGCGATCTGCCGAGTGGAATGCATCCCAAGAAGACTTTTATGGGAAGCTGGACCCTATTTAGGTGTTACTAACGTGAAGAAAACTCGGAAAACTGTACGTGGCCAGCTCGTTAGTCATGCCCGACTCACGACTAATTAAGTACCAGTGTTCGGTGGTATCCAATCGGTACTTATTAGAACTAAGAAAGAACCGTTCAGAAATGAAAAAAATCCAAGTTGTTAGATGTGGAATATTAAATACTTATAGGCTTTTCACAGTCTTAAACACATTTGATTCCACGCAGGCAAGCGCTATATGTTACTTGTCTCAGTAATGATATAGTGCGTCTATTTCGCGCTGTATCATTCGCAGTAATTAAGGGAATATAATATATATTATTTAAAATTATATTTAATTTATCATTTTCTGAAGTTTTTGCCAATAAATAGCGCTACGTGTAACTCAGCAAATTGAACGTAGATGGAAATTAATTGATTTATAGAAATCCAATCGATAATTTTGGGCGGAATGTACGACATTATCTATGTAAGTTAGAAGTATTTGAACGTTACTGCCGAATTTCGTAGCAATTGGTCGAACGGCGTGGGAGTGTATAGAGAACACACAAACAAACAAACAAATACCCTAATTTATATAAATATAGATTATACCGAAAGCATTTGTAGAAAAACTGGAAACAAATATACTACATCTTACACACTTTTCTACCCCATTCAGAGGTCTGTC